ACCTAAATATTTGAGTACCTATAGGTCTGTGTTTCATTGTGTGTTCTCAAACGTACTTTGTACATTTACTTTAAAGGCTATGTATGAGAACCTAAATATTTGAGTACCTATAGGTCTGTGTTTCATTGTCAGTGTTTTTTTCCTCTTGGTTTTCAGATGGCTCTTCTCTTTTTGTATGCCTGGTTATAATTTTACTGACTGCAGGACATTGTCAAAAAAAATTGGGGGGACTATTTTAGGTTCAAGATGACATCTTACTTCAAAGGGAATTCACTTTTGCTTCTGGAAGTCTGTAAGAACAGATCACCTTAATCCAATCAGGGTTCAAACTGGTTCAGTCTTTGTGAGGGCTGGCCTGTTTCTGGCTTAGCAGTATTCTTAGATTGTTGCACCCTGAGCCCCGACTTCTGTGTGTCTATATCCCTGAGACTGCCTGAACCTCTGCTCGGCTGTGGAGCTTGTTTTGCAGTGGAGGGAAAAGTAGCAACAAATACAAGGATCACCTTCTTGAGCCTCTGTTCTTTTTGCCATTTTACTCTTCCAGATCCCCCTGCCTCAGTGGGTGATACCTTCAAGCAATTTTTTTTTTTTTTGTAATTTTTGTCTAACTTTTCTTGTTTTTAGCAAGGACTTTGGTCTGAAATGAGCTCATCCACCATTGCTGAAAGGAGACATTCTGCTGAAGAAATTTAAATCAAATCTTGGACATTATATCACATCATCCACTCATACTTTAGTTTGCATCTTGGAAAAACATGGACATTTTCTTACATGCCATTTCTTACAGTGTCATTTCATGTTCAGATTTCCTAGATTTTCTCAAATGTTTTTTTTTTTTTTTTTTTTTTTTTTTTTTTTTTTTTTTTTTTTACTTATTTTGAGAGAGAGGGAGAGTGGGGAAGAGGGGCAGAGAGAGAGAGAGAGAAAATCCCAAGTGGACTCTGTACTATCAGTGTGGAGCCCAACGTGGAGCTTGAACTCACGAACCCTGAGACCATGACCGAAATCAAGAGTCAGATGCTTAACCTACTAAGCCACCTAGGAGCCCCAGAGACGGTTTTTTTTTTTTTTTTTTAATTTTTTTTTCAACGTTTATTTATTTTTGGGACAGAGAGAGACAGAGCATGAACAGGGGAGGGGAAGAGAGAGAGGGAGACACAGAATCTGAAACAGGCTCCAGGCTCTGAGCCATCAGCCCAGAGCCCGACGCGGGGCTCGAACTCACGGACCGCGAGATCGTGACCTGGCTGAAGTCGGACGCTTAACCGACTGCGCCACCCAGGCGCCCCCCAGAGACGGTTTTTTAAATAGTAATTTTGTTTGAGTTCAGATGCACAAGGTCTATATATTACATTTGGTTGTTGTATCTGTTGAGTATTTTTTAATCTAGAGTGTTCTCCTTCCCTGCCATCTTTTTCTTTTCATGCCATAGACCTGCTGCAATTCTGGGTCGAGGTCCTATAGAATTTCCCGTATCTCAGATGTAGCTGGTTGCTTTTATTTGATCCTCTATCACTTGTTTTTCCTGTGAAATGGAATCTAACTGTAGGGGCTTGATGAAATTCGGGGCTGGTTGGTTGGTGGGTTGGTTGGTTTTGGCAAGGATGCTTTTGTAGGTAGTGCAGAATGATTCCTGTTGCATGGCATCAGATAGCATGCAGCGTCTGGTTTTTACACTTTAATGATGCTGACATTGATCAGTGGGTTCTGACGGTGACAGTGTCATCCATCCATTGTAAAATTCTCCATCCTTCCTTGTCCTCCTGGTTTCATCTAGCGATACGTTTTTCCTGCATCAGTTATTTTACCAGGAGTTGCAAACTAATGATTTTTCTTATTCCACCACCATTTCACATTTATCAGCCCAAAATCATACACTAGAGCTATCTGATTACTCTGAAATATAGTTAAGCTCTTCTTTTAAATCCGGTAATGTCTTTTGCATCCGTTCTAAAACAAAAAAAATCATCCTGAGCAGGAAATCTTTTCTCCTGCTTTCGACACCAGAACTGCTACCTGTCGTGGAACAGCGTAGTTGGTAATCACATCACGTAGGAAAACCTCGGCGAGACCAGGAACGCAGGTCCTGCCCCCAGGTCTTCTCTGCAGCCTTTTAACTCGAGACCTTTCAGTTTCCTGACTCTCGGCCTCTGCGCAAAATATGGCAGCAAAACCTTGGTGCTCGTGGGTGTGAGTGAAGCTGGTTCGCATGCTGCCGCGGTTGTCTGCTCGTTTAAACACGTTCCTGCCTATGCACCCACTCGCCACGGAAACCCCAAAGGCGGTATTTCCGTTCTGGGGCCAGCATCCTGGAGCGTGTGATCGCTAGTGTGTACTTCGGAAGAGGGCATTCCTAAGGCCGGACAAGTAGAATGCCTGTGGATTTTGTTACCGTGTATACACTTTGTGTTTCCGCCGCGGCATTTCTTTTGTGTCGCGGTCTGCCGCAGCCCTGCCCACCCGGCGAGCCCCCAAGCCCTGCTGCGCCAGCCGTGCCAGAGCTTTCTTTTCTGTCCCCCTCATGTGGTCCCACCTCAGGTCCGGCTGCCTCTAGTGTCTCTCGTCCGGTTTTGTTTTCCGTCCTGGTGAAATACTCCTGGCCCCGCTGGGTCGTGCCCAGCTGGCGACAAGCTGAAGGCCGAACTTCCTGGCTTTGCGTTTCTGTCTCTGCACAGCCTGGCTGGACCGGTACGCTCACTGGCCCTTTGTATTTGGCATCTCCCGGGCTGCCCATGTCTCCCCATGCCCCGTGTGCCTGTCCCGGGAGCCTGTCACCCCTTCCCATCTGGACCAGCTCAAGCCGCACCCTGGTCACAGAGGGCCCCGCCGCTTCTGGAATCCCGTGTCTGTGCCAAGGCAGCTCTCATACTCCTGTGTCATGACTTTATTGGCCTTATTTCTGCAACTGGCCAGTGTCCCCACCAGGGCAGGGACTGCCCTTGGATGTGGCACAGAATGTGGCATCTCACGGGCACCCCGTTCCTTCCCTCTCCCGCTCAGATTCCTGCTTTGGCCCCCACACTGCCACGTGAAAGTCCCCTCATAGTCCCGTTCTCCACATCTTCTCCAGATGAAACTTTGCTTTGTTCTTTAATACCTTTAAGCAACCAGAGCAGGTACCTGTCGTGGCGTAATTACGGACCACTTTCCCTACCATCACGGAACCAAAGATTTCTTTCCTTCTCCTAACAGACATGACAGACATCCACTTAGTGGAATGATTTTTAGTCTAAAATTACTTTTTGGCTTCTGAATTTAATTAGTCCACATTCATAGGAATAAAATAAAATCCCAAGTCCAGGTGTGTTTTTGAGGAAAGTGTCCAGGGCAGTCGCCTTCTGATAATGGTGTCCTGTGCATAAGCCTTTTGTCTGGGGATCTTAAAATCTTTTCCACACAAGTAGATACCGATGTTCCTTTTGTAGGGGGTGAGAGGTGAAGTGGTTGATGTCCGGGCGTCCTCAAGAGGTAAAGAAAAATCCAAGACCCAAGTGTCTCCTCTGTTTTTCTCCTTCCCTCCCTTCGCGGTTCTTTAAATGAAGCATGGCTGGCCTTTTGTTGATTTAAATACCTCTCTCTCAGGTACTGCTTTATGCTTTTTTAAGAGCATGAATGGGAGGAGTTTGTGTGTCATTTAATGTGGGGAAGAGTTGAGGTTCAGGGAGGAGGGATGGTTTGTAGACATGTGCACACCTATCAGAGAGTATCTGTGTCTCCTGGTAAATGTAGCTCATCTCTGTTACACAGTAGAGCTTAAACGTGGGTTCCATGAGTTCACAAGCAAAAAGTGGTTACATAGTGCTTGGCACAGGGAAAGCCCTATGTGAGGCATGGCCCTCAGGGCAGAATCCATGGTCTCTGGACGAGCAGCATTGGGAGTGCGCCCTCACTTCTGCTGAGGGTCAGAATGTGCCTCCTTTCTCCGGACCCAGCCAAGCTTGCCCAAATCCTTGGGAGCCGGTTTACATCCTGTCTCCTTCCTCTGGGAAACCTTCCTGGTCCAACCAACCGTCATCCACCAGTCTCTCTTCCTAACTACCGTATTATTCTCTCAATTCAGTTCAGCCACCTTGAGCTGAGCATTGCCATGTACTAAGGTAGGCCTCATCCTGGCACTAAATCTCGCCCTCTCCTGTGATATTTTGTAACTGTGGTAGGAATCTTTGTCTGGTGGGATTATTGGGCCTTGGTGGAACAGCTCAGACCTGTACAGCCCCCATCTCCAGGAACAGGCCTGTACATACAGCAGGGGTTCAGTAGACTCTAAGGATAGAGGATATGGGGGGGGGCTGCGGCGTGCAGAAATGATGAGCACGTTTTATTGATATAACAAACTGTTGAATCATACTGACCTAGTACGAGGTCTGGAACGTAGCCCTGAGGTTCCATTCTTCAGCCTGCCACACACCCTCTTCTTTTATGCGGCGAAGAGGTCAGTGCGTATGGAGGTCGTCTGGCAGGACATTGTGGCAAACGCAGATGGGGCCCCGCGATCCAGCTCTGTCATCCAGTGAGGTGATAAATACCCAGGTCCCACACGAGAGATGGGCCATGATGAACCTTACAACTGGGATTCCAAGGGCTTTGCAGGGAAAAGGAGGGCACGGGAGCATCTCTGTGGGGAGCCGTGAACGTTCGTTGATTTGTTGACTCAGCTTGAACCAAGCGGCCATCTTCTGCTCCAATGTTCCAGGTGCTGCAGCGTCCTGAGAGGTGGACTGTGAGATCGCACCTGGTCTCTCCACCCCCCACCCCTGCCCGGCTGGAAACGCACAGGTGCCACCTTGTGTCTCTTCTGCAGTGTTTATTCAACATTCCAGCCCCGTCATCCCGGGAGTCTGTTCCCCCGGGCCCGCACCCTCCACCTGCCCGCACAGCTGACTTTCTTGGTGGCCCCAGTGTGTCCAGCCAGGGTCGGCCGTCCTCTCCTGGGCTCCTGATGGCATGCTGGCTGCAAAGGTGAGAGCTACTCACGCCGTGTGCCCTTCTCTTTCTTCCAGGATCTTCTTCCCAGGAAGCCACCCGGTCAGAGGCGTGCAGGTCATGAAGGTCGGCAAGCTGCAGCTGCACCAGGGCATGTTCCCGCAGGCCATGAAGAACCTGAGGCTGGTGAGTGTGCACGCGGAGAGGGAGGCCTGGTGGTGCGGCGTGCTGGGCCGCACAGCCGGCTCCGAAAACACGTGATTTGTGCTGCTCGCCCCTTTCCGTGGTAGAAATGTGCCTACCGTGGCTGATTCAGACTCCCCACGGAAAATCAGCCCCCAGAAATCAGGACGGTTTAACGGTCGGCTTTTGCCAACTGGTGCAAACTGGCCTTCAAAGGACCCCTGCACTCGGGCCCCACAGGACACTGTCCGTAAGCCCCTGTCAAGCTGGCCTCTGGACCACCTGTCTGCAGTACACCTTTGCAGCCTGCACCCCCTCCAGCCACCCCTGCCTCTCCATACGGCCAGCGTTCACTGGGCCACCCGGGGTTGCCCAGGACACCTTGAACCGCTCACACTTAGGTCTTTACCAAGACAATTCCTGTGCCTCAAATGCTGCCCCCCCCCCC